GAGTGAAACTGGTTTGTTTGGTCAGAATCAGGAGTGAAACTGGTTTGATAACTAATGGAATGTGGACAGTTTCCATCAGGAGTGAAAGGATCTCTGGCTTGTCTTCTGTAGATGGGCTCTCTGCAGATTGGACCTTCTTCATCTTCTTCCTCAGGTAACTCTACAGAGACGGCCACAGTGGATGAGAACACGCACGAGTTTTTCACTGAACTGACAGAACCGGGAACGTACCGTGTGCACATCACAACGCTGAGCTCGTCCGGAGACTGCGAGGCCCGGGAGAGCAGTGCTGAGATGGGCTTCAGTTTCTACCTTGGTGAGTCGACAGCAACGGTTCTGATCCAGAGCTTTTAGATAAACCGATCGGTAACTTTGCTTCAGGTTAAGAGCACTCCTCCAGATCATGTTTAATTATTTCACTGTTTCCCCACAATTATACAAGCGGGTCGCCCCACCATGTCAAAAGAATCGAGCGCCCCATCTACTGTACCTGTCAGTGCTGATCCACCTCTTGAACTCGTGCAGGTCCTGACGGTGAGCTGCTGGAGGAGCTGTGGGAGCGTCCTCAGGCTGTCAGCGTTAGACTGCTGGACTCCAGCACTGCAGCCGTCTCCTGGTCTCCGTCCTCCCAGAACCACAACGGCAGTCTCGTCTCTGTGGTGTCCACTACGTGTCTGAAACCGAGCCTGAGCCAGCGGATGGAGAACACGTACTGCAGCGAGGTAACATGCAGCCAGGCAGCTGTCAGAACTGGACCCATTTCAAAACCCTCAGTCCAGTTCTGTTAAAAACCAAACTCTGTAAAATGGTGTGAGATGTACCACATCCTACAAACTGATAAACTGTGACATGGACATGTAGGGACTGATGGGACGAGTGGGAACAGGTGAGATATTTCAGTTCAGTTTATTTCTAAAGCTCAAAGTCACAACAGAAGTCGTCTCAGGGACTGGACAGAAACATTCATCTATAAAATAATAATTAACAGAAACATTCATCTATAAAATAATAATTTAACAGAAACATTCATCTATAAAATAATAATTGAACAGAAACATTCATCTATAAAATAATAATTGAACAGAAACATTCAAATATAAAATAATAATTTAACAGAAACATTCATCTATAAAATAATAATTTAACAGAAACATTCATGTATAAAATAATAATTTAACAGAAACATTCAAATATAAAATAATAATTTAACAGAAACATTCA